GCAAGGAGGAAGGACAGAGGAGGTTGGGCTCTGGAGCCAGACAGAAAAAGGAAAATAAAAGAGTTTCAATAGTTGAACTGACCTCTGCTGTATGACGTCACTGCCTCTCTCTGGACCCCCATGTCCTCAGCTGCTGGCCAAGCTATAGGCTCCCTGTGATTAGAACCTCATCCCAAGGCTGCCATCAGGGACCGCGATGCCACAGGGTGCCTCGGTCGATCCCCTTTGTAGCAGAGGGCCTGGCTCCCCTGTAGCATGACACTAGGGCCCATGATTCGGTGCTGCTAGGTTGTAGAAATGAGTGAGATGCATCTGTTTATTTATTTATTTATTCATTTATGTATTTGGTACAGGGTCTCACTACGCAGCTCGGACTCGTAGTGAGCCTCCTGTTTTCAGCCTCCCCAGCACTGGGATCGCAGGCGGGCCCCGGGGATGGGGCTGGCTCAGCATTCGGGATTAGGGATCGATTCCTAGTTGCTGGGCTTGCCAAAGCAGGCACTTAGTCCACTGAGCTATCTCACCGGCCCTAAAAGATATATCTGTTTAGGGGATGGGTATGGGGCCAGCGGAGGCAGAAGAAAAACAAGAACTGAGGCACAGCAAGTGCCCTGGGCGCCTTTCCATCCTTGTGGGCTGCGAGTTTCTGGATGCATTTAAGGGTCCCTTCGCCCTTCCCTGGTGTCTACTCTCCCCCTCCCCCATACTGGGGATTGAACCGAGGGCCTTTGCACTGAGCTACATTCCCAGCCTTAAAAAAAATTTTTTTTTGAGACAGGGTCTCACCAAGTTGCTGCCCTGACCCAGCTGGGCTCTAACTCGTGCTCCTCCTGCCGCTGCCTCCAAGTGCAAGGGTTGCAGATGTGCGCCAGCGCTGGCCCCAAGCCCACTGCCCTCATGCTCGGGCTGGCTGTGGTGGTGCAGGTCTGTAATCCCAGCACTCTGGGAGGCTGAGGCAGGAAGATCCCAAGTTCGAGCCGGCCAGAGCAATGTACGGATTTAGGGAGACCCTGTCTGGAAATAACAGGGCCAAGGACACAGTTCCACCCCTAAGGTGAACTTCCTGTCTGTCTGACTTCCTGTCAACCTCCTCACCTCGCAGCCTGTAGGAGCTCCGAGGCCTCGGCCTACCTGGATGAGCTGCGTTTGGCTGTGGCCTGGAACCGCGTGGACATCGCCCAGAGTGAACTCTTCCGAGGAGACATCCAATGGCGGGTGAGGTGTCAGGGCCATCCTCATCCTTCATGCGTCCCCAGCCTGTGCCCTCTCCATCCACCCAGCCATCATTCAGCGGAGCGGCCCCTGTCTGTCCCTGCTCATCCTGTCCCCAACACCTCCCTCCCGCAGTCCTTCCACCTGGAGGCGTCCCTCATGGACGCCCTGCTGAACGACCGGCCCGAGTTCGTGCGCCTGCTCATCTCCCACGGCCTCAGCCTGGGCCACTTCCTGACGCCCGCGCGCCTGGCCCAGCTCTACGGCGCGGCGCCCGCGCACTCGCTCATCCGCTCGCTCCTGGACCAGGCGGCCCACGGGGCAGCCACCAAAGCCCCGGGGCCCAAAGGTGGCGCTGAGGAGTGCCGGCCGCCTCAGGTGGGACAAGTACTGAGGACGCTGCTGGGGGAGACGTGCGCGCCGAAGTACCCCGCCGCCAACGCCCGGGACTCGCGCGCCAGCAAGGGATGCATGGACAGCGTGAGTGCACGGCTAGGGGGCGGGGCCACAGCCGGAGGGGCGGGGCCTCGCCGGAGTGGGCGGGGCCATAGGACCCCTAGTCCGAAGTGGCAGCCCTAGCCCCGCCTCCCGTGCCTGCAGGTTTGTCTGCTCTCAGATTGGGCCACCTCAGAACCCGCTCTGGAAGCCAGTTTTGGACAGGCGCCCTGGGGCGATCTGCTCTTGTGGGCGCTGCTGCTCAACAGAACCCAGATGGCCATATACTTCTGGGAGATGGTGAGTGCTGACTCCTGTCTCGGATCTTAGTCCGAAGAGCTCTCTGCATGATGCCCTGACCTATGACATAACACCGGCCACAGCGCATCGTCCTTGATCTATGACGCGGACGACTTCGTCTTCTTTCTCCCCCACAGCATGCAGTTTGCATATGCTGAACTTTCCATGAACAAAGCACATTGGGCTTCTGATCACAGAGATACATCTCGGTTTTTTTTTTTTTTTTTTTTTTAATGGTGTGTGCGTGTGCGCGCGCGCAGAACAGCTCAAGCTTGTAGTGATCCTCCTGGTTTCAGCCTCCTCATTGTTGGGATTACCGGCGGTGGTGCGCGCCACCACGCAATTCCAGGACTCGATCTTGCCAGGCAAGCACTTATTCCACTGAGCCATCTCCCCGGCCCCTTTATTTATTTATTTTTATTTATTTATTTAACATTTATTTAGTGTGTGTGTGTGTGTGTGTGTGTGTGTGTGTGTGTGTGTGGCCAGCTCAGCCCACCAGGGGGCGCG